GCTTAGTAATCCGCAGACACTTCATACGAAGCCGAATCCTGCTGAATCAGGAGAATCCACTGATCCAGGTAGGTGAGGGAATTCAGAAGACCGGTTTACTAAGCTTTTTCAGCAGGACAAAAAAGTGGAATCGACTTCTATTTATGCCTTTTTTTCTTGCATCGTTCAGAGCGCCAGCCAAATGCATGACCCAGTGGTGGTCTTCTTCTACCTCAGTGATGTACATCATGTGCTCATCTATCAGGGAATTCTTCTCGAATAAAACCACGAATCACCAGAACAGAGATGGAAGAGTTCCGTTCCCGACGATTCCAATCTTTAATAATCTTATGTCGAACTGAGATCCAGTGAGATTGACAACAGAGAAACCTTTTCTAGGCAGGATTATTTTTCATGAATAAAGAAGAAAAGTTCTCACCTATCTCAAAAGGCGTTAAATGCTGCTTTGAAGGTCGATGGGGACTTTCCCACGGCTCGTTCTCGGATTTACCCTTGTTCGGATAAATCTGCCATAGTATCAGAGCTGAGATAATGGACTGCTTTCCTCTGAGACTATGTGGTATCAGAGCGATTCGAGATCAATCAGAGGTGTGCCTGTGAGTGTGGGAGACTCGTTAAAAGAAACTCTTAAAGATGCTTGCTCCGTCAGTGTCAGACTGACGAGTTGGCCGTAGAGGATGCGGCCTGTCAGGAAGATCGGCTTTGGTGCCTATTATAAAAATCAAAATCAAACTTCCCTCGGGCAGCTATCTTTCTTAGTGCTACCCTATGGTCCACCACGTGATGAATCATGAGGGCGAGTTACCAGCGACTGTATGGTTTGTGGTACTCCTTGGATAAGTTTGGAACTGGGACCTGCACGAGGAGCCCAGGGGTTATGAGCCACTCCCGACACCTCCATTAGGAAGAAGAGGTCTTGCAGCAGCGGTAGCATATGTCGGAGGTTTGGAAGAAAGTATGAACGGGCTTTGCCCCCCTATTGGGGAACCTTCTCATCCCGATTCTGCCTTTGGAGCTATCTGAAAAGGTCATTTTCAAGTTTAGTTTTCTTACTGATTCGGCTCGCTACCTATAGAGCTTGGTGTCTTGATAGAGCAGCATCGTTACCAGATTGTTTTATATAAGGGGAATTGGCTTGAAGAGAAAGAAAGGCAGCCGGCTCGTAAACTCGTCTCTATAATATAAAAGGGAAAAGAAGAAGAGGGAAAGAGTGTAATGGGGACAATCTAAGGAAGAAACTAGAGCTCTGGAAGATAAAGAAAGAACGAAAGGAAAATGGAGTACTTGCCTTGGTTGTCGGAAGGAAAGTCATGTCCAGTCTTGAACTAATCAACTACTCTACTCAACTCAGCAAGCAAAATACAAAGAAATCAAGTAAACAAACCCTATAGTAAATACAGTACATTCCAAAAAGGCTAAAGCCCTCTAACCGAGAAGTCAGTGCCGAAGTATTTAAGTTCCAACCGAAGTAAGAAGACCTCGAGGCGGGGAAGAGGAGTGAAAGCCACTCGCCCTACTCATACAAGTCAAGGAGAGGAGTGATGTAATTGAGCTCGTATTTCTATATAAATATCAGCTTAACCGGGCAAATGCAGAATCATCATAGGTAAGAAGCACAACACCATGTTCCCTCTTTCCTGTCGCAACTAGTCCCGTGAGCTAGGTCCACGGTTGCTACTTCTCTCGTCTTTGGAAAAGGGAAAAAAACGATTCTATATGGTCAGTCACTTCGGGCTACTTTTTGGGGAGATAGCATGGGGCTTATGAATGGAAGGAAATCCCCTCTCCAAGTGTGTGACTCTTTAGGGGAAAATCCCGTCCTGTGGTCCTGAACAAACGTTCCATCCTGAAAAGAAAGCTCATCTCTTACTGGGAACGAGAGATCTAATACAACAAACAACAAAGACCTGAACTAGCAGCTCGCTCAATGCGCATTGAAAGCCATTATAATGAATGCCCTTTTTTAGCATCTTTGAATTGAACTTAGCCATCTTCCTATCCTAAACCCCTAGAATCATAAGAAACAATTGATGGTTGATCCGGCAATTCTATTAAGTAATTAGTTAGTCTATCAAGCTGAAACTAGGACTTAGGAAGACTCAGGGAGGGCACCCCTTTTAGGGTACTCCATCGAATGGACCTATCCTCTACTCTTGGAAGTCTGGTTTGCGAGCTTGACTCCTGTTACTTGCCCGAATAGAGAAAAGTGTATTAGATAAAGTAGGTTTTTTCGCAGATAGAAGGAGGGCTATTCCCGCACCGAATCAGTACCAAAAAAAGAATGAATAAAAAAAGTATTATAATTTCGCTCTTTATCCTTAGGAAGGTGAGGAACTACTAAAGGAGACAGCTTTTAAGGCTTGTTGAAAGAACAGGTATTCCTACAGGTTTTGTTTTCACGGCTAGCGAAAAGGGAAAAAAACCCACATGGAAGGACTTAGCAATAGCAAAAAAGATGCTAAATAAAGAAAACGAAATATCTAGTTTCTCAAAGCATGCTGACTTGAACTTGCTTTCTCATACGAGAACAAAGCACTTTCACCGGCTGTTAGCTTTCCTTTCTCACTTATGATTCGGGGGAGCACTACAAAAAATGTAAGGCTGGCAATTGCCACTATAACTAAACTGGCTTTAACAGCTGAAGTCCCAAGAATCTTTCCCCTGGCTTTCCTTGTTAGCCTAAGATCCATCCTTTAAAAAGCGATTGCTGTTACGGGACTTTTAAATAAGTCACTTACTTTTGGTGTAAGAGACAGAGACAGGGGCTTAAGCTGGCTTAGACAGATAAACCCGCTGGTTCCTCTCAAGCTAAGATGCCTTCAATTCATACCCGGGTTTACTTTCATCTCTGGTCTCATCAGTATTATAGACCGAAGGTTGTTGTCTTAGAAAGGATGCAACTAAGCCGCTTGAGAAAGTAGATAGAGAGAAGGGAGTGTTGATCCGGCAGTTTCAACACAGGTTCCTCTGTTATGGCTCGCTTGAGCCCAACTGGTTCGCATGGACACGCAACTGGAAATAGGATATGCTTCTTAACTGGTCTTGTTCAAAGTGAAACTATTTCAAGATCTTTTCAATCAGTTTTTTGATTCGTGTAAGATTCTTGGTACAGTTTTCCTGCTTGCTAATCAATAAAAACCAAGAGTTGTAATAAGGTGGTAAAGAAGGTCAGAACTGCCGGGTTCCCTGTAGGAAAGGGCGTAACCCCACTCTAAAAGTAGTTCGGTTCCCGGTTGAAAAAGCTCTTCACAATAGGAGCAAAAATAAGAATTGTCAAGGTTGTCGGCATATCTGCACCCGGCTCAGCTCAAGGTGCAATCCAAGCAAAGTTAGAAGAGCAGGCGAAAGCAAGGTGCGAAGCACTAGTGACATCCTCAAGGCAACGAGTTATGAGCTCCTAACGGGTAGGAAAACAGAGAATAGAAGAAGCTGCAATTGCTCCTGTTGAATGAGTTTCAGTTGGAAGAGGGGGCATTAGCGGTTTAGGAATCGATCTAGCTGCTTCTCCTAGAGATGGAGATGCGGCATAACCGTATGAACCGTACTCGTCTGCTTCCTAGGTACCTTCCATCGTTGACCTCTATACCTCTTCAGGGTATTGGCTTCGATTCTGGCAGAAGCGGGATGGCACACGACCTTTTATGTTAGGTTAGGGTCCAAGGGAACGACCATACCGAGGGATAGATACTTGGAAAACCAATAGAAAGGTGCGAGACTATATCCACATTGATTCAAATCATTAAGTGTTAGTTTTGATGATAAAACTCTTACCTGGCGTGTCGAAAAGGTGAGGGTGCTCCTCCCGCATCTTCTCCTCAATTTCCCATGTAGCTTCGCGCTCGGAATGATTCCTACACGACGTATGGAATTGTGCGCGTCCTTAGTACCTGATCCTTTCTGTCAACAATCTTCTCCGGGCGTTCTTCATAAGTTAATTTATTATCTACAACCATATCCTCTATCAACCAGATATGCTCTGGCGACGGTACGTATTTCCTCAGCATGGATACGTGGAATACTTTGTGAACTCAGGAGAGCGCAGGAGGTAGTGCCAAAAGGTATGCCACATCGCCTATCGCTTACTTGCGTTCAATGAATGAAGTTTGCTCTTTCGAAAATCGATTAGATAGCAATGTTACTCTGAGTTCCTGCTTCACTACAGGGGAAAGGGAAAGAAACGAAAAAAAATTTGTTAAGCAAAGCCCATGGCCTACCCCTCCTACTCTTCCATACCAGTGAAATAAGTTATTCTTTCGAATAGGCCTAACCCTTGGGGAGAGGGTTATGTTATTGGGTTATAAAGAGGGACTCCCACCTCACTCAACCATAAGGAGACATTTAGAATAGTGATTGATTATGAAGACTTTTACTAGCAAGTCAGTGTCGTGCCCTCAAGTCAAGCAAGGTACCGAGTTAGATAAAGAATTATAGGGGGTGCAAGCCCGGATACTAACTATTTCCCTTGCATTTTAAAAGCATGATTTTTACCTTCGGGGAGGGATACTTCTTTCTTTGACTTTATAGAAAACATTTATACTTGATTGAAGATATACCAAAACTCTCGTCTATTTCGATGGTATGATAGTAACTAGAGCTCCGGAGAAAATGACCATAGAATTCTTTCTTAGCCTTAGACAAAGAGAACGGGAAACCAGGAACCAAGCAGGCCTCTTGGCAGGAAAACAAGCTAGATCACGTTCTCGAAATAAACCAAGTTTTTCATGTAGGATTTGGTTGGTGGTCCATTAAGGTCTTGACCCCCTAGGAACTACTCGGAAATAAGGTAAGTAAGTTAGAGAGCTCTGTCCCAATTGTTGAGGAATGGGGTCTTAAGACAGACAAGGCTTTAGTAACGAGTTTTACTAACCGAGGATGAAATTGCCACAGACCAGCATCAGCTGGCTCATGTCTTGGGCAGACTAGCTTTTACCAAGAAATAGTAAATAAAAGATTGCTTTGGTGGTAGGTGAAGTTGTAACAAAGTTCCCTTTTTCAATCAG